TCATTTACATTACGTATGTAAATGGTCAAATCCAAATCGGTGCTCAAGGAGGTCGGCAAACCCTGATCATAGGCCTCGATGCGTATCTAAAAATAACAAAAAGAATAAAAGAATACATTTCAATTAGCACAATTTTATTTATTTACCTCATGAATCTTCTGCTTATCCCGATCCAGTGGTTTCTTTCAAAAATAAATGTCCCGTTTCCGAATCCAATTCGAAGAGTTTATAACTACCCAGGGGATCAGGTTTAAGGCGATAGTGGACAAAGCATTCATACCAATATCCTCATCGGTGCCATTACCTGGAGTATAGTGAACCCACTGTGGCATTTTCTGAACTCGCACCGGTTGTATTGTGTAGCGGTTGTATAAACACTGGAGCATGATCATTAAAATCGGATATACAATGTCGAGTATTTTGGTAAACGATATTTGGCGGTGCACCTAAATCGCGTGTTGTTATTGTCAGCGAATGATTCCCATAACGATTGCGTAAAGATGTTCGGGCATAACATGTGTGCATTCCAGGCATCAATCTGTCGCAGTTCAAATAAATCTATGCAAAGAGAGGAGGGGAAAAGAGAAAGTGAAAACTAGTTTTTCAACTATAGTGGATCGCACTGTGCGACAAAATTCAATTGAAAGTAAAGGTTTAAAACGAGGCATGAAGGAGCAAGTTCTTCCATATTCCACACTTTTGATAATTTTCGAATTAAGATTCCTCGGAATCCGCGCATTTTAGGCATATAGTATCTTCGGCAATATTGCAGAAAAAAATACGAGGACTATTTTGTCCGAATATTTTAAACAAAGGGGTCTTTTTGGTCCTTTTTTTAAATATGATTATTTACTCCCTTTAAACGGGACCATAGCAAATCAAAATATTCTACTTTTCTTTCTTTCTGGCTTTGTCCTAAACTTCTATAGGTCCTAGGAGACGTAAAGAGTCTAAATGTTAGAGGAATTCTTAAAAATGAAAAACAAAATTTAGGGTTAAAAGGAATTCTTAAAAATGAAAAACACAATTTAGGGTTAAAGGCGTACTTTGTGCGCTTTTGTGGAAAAATCTCCAACAAAGTATCATTTTGGAAGGATGACGTTAAAGACAAAAATATTCTTTATGTAATTTTACTATGTATGCCAAAAGGATTTTGTATCAATGTTTGTTTTTTGCTGTTAATTTAACAAGTGTCCAATCCGAGTCGAAATCTCCCTTTATACTTCATTTATTGTCAAAGAAAGAATTATTGTAGAGCAAATTTTATTCTGAATCTATGAACAAAAGAAATTTGTATACCTTATATTCACCATAAAAAAATGCATCCATTTTTACACCATCCACCATAGTATGGTATATTAAGTTTTTCATTCCGTTTGTAAAACTTCGAAGTATACATTTTAGACTCCACAAAGTACATATATTCTTAATCAGCATAAAAGTCTATGTCGATTTAGCGATGTCCGTCGGTCCGTCCGTCTGTGAAAATCACTCTAGCTTCCGAACGAAATGAGGTAGGTTAATAAAATTTTACTCAAATGTGTATTATGCCTGCAGGACTTTTGGTATTGAAAATGGTTGTTGTAGGTCCACGTTTCGACAGAAAATTGTCTGTGCAGGTCCACGTCTTCGTATAGCCCCTATATAACGGTACCTCCCGATATTCGGTATTTTTATGGTTTTAGCGACATTATTCACCGAAATTGTTTCAAATTTGGTATTTGAAGTTCGTAAGGGATGATACAACCTAATAACGGCACCCCGCGATATTCAGCATTTTAATGATTTTAGCGACATTATTCACCGGAATTGTTTAAAATTTGATGTTTGAAGTTCGTAATGGGCCTATGACAGAAAATTGTCTGTGCAGGCCCACATCTTCGCATAGCCCCAACATAACAGTACCTCCCTATATTCGGAATTTTGATAATTTTAGCTACAATTTTTTTATTCAAGTTTCGCATTGGAATATTGTAATGGTTTATGACAAAAGTTGCCTATACAGGTCCACATCGTTGTATAGACCATAATATAACGGCTACATTCGGTAATTTTAAGATTTGAACTGAATTTTAACGGATTTTATTTTTTTTTTGAAAATTGTCAAAATCGTTCCAAATGGTGGAGGGAATTAAAAGATCGGCCCGGCCGAACTTACAGCTTTTTTACTTGTTGTTAATAAAATCCCTTATTTATTTCTGAAATAAATTAACAATCCGAGTCAGAATCTCCTTACTTAATATGTACCATAAAAAATGTGACCCCTTGTTTATTTTTTAAAAATATAGTAAAAAAGCTGTAAGTTAGGCCATATCGATCTTTTATTCCACATATCCCAATTGCAATTTCCCCTATAGTTAAAAAATAAACAAGGGGTCACATTGGTGACATTTTTTATGGTACATATTACATTTGGGAATTAAAGATCACTTAACTGCTCCAACCTTCAACTTACCCTCTTGATTTCCTTTGGTTATTTTAAATTCCAATCTTCCGTTTGGTGTTTGAGGATCATCGGCATCTTTGCCTTTGATGGTGGCGATTTTTTCATTCAATTCATGATATTCAGTTATCAAAACACACGATGAGGGCATAGATACCTCAGGAACATTGTCATTTTCATCCAAAATTGTAATACTAAAATTCGATTTAATTATAACTTATAAATACCAAATTTAATTTCCAACAATTCAAATACTTACAAAACCTGCTTGAATGCATTACGACTTTCACCAGCCAAAAATCCGAATTGATAATTATCCCACGCCTCAATGACCAGCATATAGAAATCCTTTGCCTCTCGATCTAATTTGTCGATGACACTCAAAACACCCGTATCAGCATCAATGGAAAATTTGCCCTGAGAACTTATGCGATCCATTAGAAATGTGATTTTTCCAAAATCCCCAGAATCAGCATCGGCCGCTTGTATGGTACCAATTCGAGTGCCCACCACCGCCGATTCACTAATACTGTAATTTTTTGAGCCACCAATAAAATATGGATTATTATCGTTTTCATCTAGGACCGAGACGAACACATCGACCAGTGAAGATCTTGGCGGTACTCCAGAATCGGTGGCTCTCACCGAAAAATTCAACCATTGATATTGTTCATGATCGATTTTATTGGCCACCACAATTTCTCCGGTATGTGAATCCATATGGATCATTTGTCGTATCAAGGGGTTACCCTCCAAACTATAGGTTATGGTACGATTCTTATCAATATCATTGGCAATCACATGGCAATCAACACACCATTCATACTATTCTCAGTTATGGATTTCTTATAGAATGGCTGTTTGAATTTCGGATTATTATCATTTTCATCGGCTACCTGTATGGTCAAGAAACTTTCCACCACCTGCCGTCCCTTGGCAGCAGCCAAATCCTCCACAACAATAGCCAGTTTTATGTGTTCGACACGTTCCCGATCGATTAATTTCATCAGTTGTAGGGTGCCATCAATGGGATCCAAATCGAATATGGATATATAATCGTATTTCACTTTGTTTTACTATCGTACCCTCTTCGTTACGTGCCTCCGAATTGTGGGCATTAATTTTATAACGTATTATCGGGTTCTCGTCGGAGTCATTGGCTACGATTTTGTAGATTTGCGTCCCCACCGGGGTATTTTCAATAATTTGTATTGTTGGTAATTCTGCAAGAATTGGTAATTTGTTGTTCACATCTTTAATGGTTATATTAACGGTGGCCGTATTCATTAGCTGGGAACTTCCAATGCCTCCGTCAATGGCAAGCTGAAAGGAAATTTTAAATTCTAGTTATTGACTTTTCGAAAGTAGCGACAGTTTAAAACTTTAAGGTTCTAAAAAAGGAAATCTTTTTGCACAGAATTTAATATGGGGAAGATCATTAATAATAATATCATGAGTATATACCCGAACTCAACCTCTTAAATGTTCTAACACTCTAAAAGGCAAAAACATATGCATTTTCAGATTATACAGGGTGAGAAGAAAAAACTGCAACCAACTTCAGACTGCAGTCAATTCTAAGCCACTCGTCCGACGGCTGTTGAAATTATTTCAGTGACAGCTCTTTATATGGTTTACAAGCGTTCAAAAGCATTTTGGTGAGAATTTTCCAGAAAAAAATTATTCGTGATAGAATTCAAGCGTGATTTCTTGATATTTGGCTGGAAAACCACAAGTGGCTATCGTTACTCCACTCCAGCATTTAAATGTGAATAAATCTATTGTGTCTCGTACTATCGCTCGTTACAGTGATACTGGTAGCGTAGTCCGACGTCAAGGAGGGGACGAAAGAGAACAGCAACATCAGCAGAAATAGCTCGAAAAGTAAAGAAGCGACTTGATCGAAACCCGCGTCGCAGGCTCGTGAGCTGAATATATCGCAATATTCCATTTGGCAAATATTGAAAAATGGGATCGGGGTAAAGCCATTGAAATTCCGAACAGTGCAAGAACTTACACCGCAACAGAAAGAAATAGACTCAAAAGAGGTAAAAAGTTGCTTCGCTTGGCCGAAAGTGGTGAACTGGCGAATTTGGTTTTCTTCGATGAGAAAACATTCGTTGTCCAGCAGTTTGTAAACAAACAAAATGATCGTGTTTACTTCCCAAGAGGTCAGCTGATAATGTGCACCTTCGGTTGGCGACCAGAACTTAAGCGCCGGCCATGGTGATGGTGTGGGCCGCCATAACAGCTGATGGTCGCTCTCCGCTCGTATTAATCGACCATCGCATCAGAATAAATGCCGAATATTATCGCGAACATATTCTGGAGGGTGTATTAAAGCCTTGGGCACTCAATCATTTTGGCCGCGGACCTTGGACATTCCAACAGCACTCAGGACCCTCGCACTCAGCACGCGCCACCCAAGAATGGTTGCAAAATGAGGTTCCTCGCTTCATTTTCAGCGCACCGTGGACACCAAAATCTCGGTATACCCATCCGTTGGACTATTGTGTCTGGAGTATTTTGGAAAGCAAGGTTGGTACTAAAAAATACCAAAGTGTCGATCACCTCAAGCAAGCGCTTCGCCGGGAATGGGCAAAAATACCGCAGAGCAACATACGGGCAGCGTGTGACGGTTTCATTCGCCGTTTAAAGACCATAATTCGTGCCGTAGGTGACCAATTCGAATTCAAATCTAAACTTATTCTAGAATTTGATGCTATTCCAATTTTTTTTGCTTTCATTCAATCAAATTAAAAAAAATGTAGAAATTATGGCGTTTGAATTTATTGCAGTTTTTTTGTCTCACCCTGTAATTGTGTATTCTTATCTGCATTATTGACGAAGATCCCAAACTTAACCATTCAAATGTTCTAATACTCTAAAAAGCCAAAACATATCCCTTTCAGGTTTTCGTTCAAAATTTCGAATCAAAATAAATGAAATCAAGACTAAATCACTTACCACAGCCAGACTGTATTGAGTTGTTTTATTTTCCGTTAAGTCTGGATCCAAATTAGCACCATGAGCCACCGATATAATACCCGACTCCGAATTAATTACAAATTTATCTTGGGCTCCGGACTGAATGCGATAAACTATAACATTATTTGGCGCCGAGCCATCACGATCTATGGCAGCGACTTGCAGCACGGAGCTACCACCAGCCAAATCTTCGGGTATACTTTTTGAATAGAAATTTTTCAGGAATATGGGTGGATTATCATTGATATCTTGGACATAGATGAGTACAGAGACAACGGTCGATAACATTGGGATGCCGGAATCACGGGCCCTCACCATTAAATCTAGAACTCGAACTCCCTTATCGGCTTTCTGTTCCAGTGAATGATGATGGTGGTGGTGATGGGGTTTATGTTCTACCAAACGTTCATAATCGAAGGGATTAAGTGGCCGAAGAATACCCAATTCTGGATCTATGGAGAAATTTGCACGATACATTCCTTCAACAATTTCATAGGTTATTTGACTGTTCTCTGTGCCATTCAAGTCATTATCACGGGCCTCCAATTGTAGGGGGTGTTCGAATTCTAGTTTATTTTCCAGCAGCGTAGTTTCATATTGACGTTGTAGAAATGTGGGAGCATTGTCGTTTAGATCTTCAATGTTAATTATTAATTGGGCAGTGTTGCGATTTCCCTGACCAAGATTGTCAATGGCTTCAACGGTCATGTAATGTCGTGATACGATTTCACGATCAAATGCCGAACCACCGGATTGTTTGATGGTAACCACGCCGTTTATGGGATTTAAATGCAATCTGTGAAGATAAGGTCATGGAATCTTTGGATTTTTGGCAAACATGTTAATACTTACAAATGGGCAATCCCACCCCTCAGATTAAGATATCTTATACCCAATGTCCCATAGTCACCCGAATCCACATCACTGGCCTCAATTTTGGCCACCGTGGTGCCTATTTCACTATTCTCTGCCAGTGAAACATTGTATATATTCTGGGAAAACTCTGGAAAATTATCATTTTGATCTCTGATGAAAATTTGTATATGAGCCGAGGAGTAACGACTCGGTTCATCGACTTCTCGGGCAAAAAGCGTGAAATTGATCTCCTTCAACTGTTCATAATCGAGAGCTTTGGGATTTTTGACACGGATCATAAAGCTTGCCTCATTCACAGCGATATCGGGTACGATTTCAAAGAGATCATTGGGTGGGTCCAAAAATAGACGAAATGTGCCATTATTACCCACATCTCGGTCGTAGACAAAATGGCGAATGTCTCCATCAATGAAATTCAGCGGGGTATTTGATTGGGCATTTTCATTGACCTCACAGCGATAGATGGATTCTCCGAAGGTGGGAATTTCATCGTTGACATCGGACACAATAATGGTTACCTCTGTTTTCACCTGGGACGATTGCGGCGAGGCATGGGGATTCTAAAAAACAGAAATCGGAAAAAAATCTATCACGTTTAAAATTGCTATCTCTACTCTCTCTTTCTTACCTTTGATATTTCTTTGGCAGTGATTTTCAAAATATAAGCTCCATTCACTTGGTTACTGGGATCCTCACGATCCAACTCCCGTATTGTATATATCCAACCCGTGTTACGCTCAATGGCAAACAACTCATTCGATTCCAATTCATAGGCTATGGGATTATTAATACCACGATCTCCATCAACACAGAGGACGCGCATTACCCTCGTTCCCACAGGAGCATCTTCGGCTATTCTCGCCACTGGCTGGACTTTCACAAATTCCGGTGGTTGATCTTCCACATCTTTGACTTTTATCAAAATAGCTGCCGTCCCTGTATTCACTGGACCCTGATTGGCACGATCCACTGCCAAGACTCTTAATTGATACAAGGCCTTACTCTCATAATCCAATTGTCCGGTTAAACTCAACACCCCTTTGCCCTGATTTGTGGTAATGGCAAATATATCATTGTCGCCCTCCAATTCCTGCAAATAATAAACCACCTGACCATAGGCTCCCTCATCGGCATCGATGGCCTCCAGCGATGTAATAATACCAGGTTCACTATTTTCCGGTATTTCAATAGCACTTTGATAGGGTAAAAATATTGGGGCATTATCATTGATATCTTCCACCAAGAGCAGGAAACTTTGAGTCACATAATTGTAGTCGTTGTAGTGGTTATCGGTTAGCGTTAAAACTATTGAGTATTCATCCTGAGTTTCTCTATCCAATTCTTTGGCTAAATAAACATAGGCCTCATTGGAACCTTTGTTTTCGATGCGTATTACTTCACTGTCGGCCGATGGCCTTTTGCCAAATGTCAGGGGATCATTGTCGGGATCATAGCCCTTTAGGGTGTAAATTAAGGTACCTGATATAGAAAAATACAAACAACACAAAAATATTAGACATTTTACTCCATTTTATTCGAAATGTGTGTTATTTACTCACCAACTTCTGTCTCTGGACTCTCTTTCAAACGCAGCACAATCTCCGATTGGCCTTCAATAATGAAACGTGGCGGGCGATTGGCTTGAACATTTTGTACTAATACTAACAGTATTACTATGCGACTAAGGCTTCGGAGTCCCCTGAGGATCGTTTCGAATTTTAATCGCACCTTATGATGTTTCCTTTTACTGGGTATCGCTGTCCTGAGTTCTGTTTGTTTTAGAGAGGTCCCAATTGACCTCTTTTTGGTTCGATGCATATTTTATTGGTTTATTAGGAAAAGGGAATATTTATGTTTATATCATGACATCTTGCAGGAGATTCTGAAAGTAAATTGAATTGGATAGTGATTTTTTTCAAAATGTGATATATTTAAAAAATTAATAAAATATTCTAAACAAATGGGAGAATAGGGCTCAAATCGTTCTTATTTATTGCCAGCAAGTGCCCTTAAAATATTAGATTCGTTCCAACAGTTTGTCTTAGGCCTTTTTGTACTCAACCAGGGTGGATACTAGTAAGGCCATTGCACAATAGAACAACATCCAATTTTGCTGTCAGAACTATTTCAACGTCTCTGAGCCCTGGAAACCTAAATGGTCTTCAATATCAAGTTTCAGGATTTTAGATCTATCCCTTCACCTAATACCAAGTTTATTAACATTTAGTGTGCATATCCTAAACAATCCACATTTCTCCATCCAACACACCAAAAGTGACCCAAAATTAGTACCATTTAATACTTTTCGAACAGTTATAGTACGCATTTGGAAAATCTCTATTGCTTCACTCAGTACCAAATTTAGTAACATTTAGCACTTTTAGTATAACTTTAGTACTCATTTGCAAAACCGTTCCGTATCTCAATCCTAGACACCAAAAGTTTTCGCAACATAAATTGTCACGGTTGCGGCTCACTCACCATCACTTTTCGAACAGCTAAATATATTACCGTTCGGGAATTTTCGTACAATTTCCAAAACCACCTTCATATCTTAAACACAGACACCAACATTGACATCCACATTAAATTTCAGGATTTCAGCTTCTATTCATTCAACTAATACCAAATTTAGTACTATATACTACTTTTCGTACAATTATAGTACGTATTTCTAAAACCACCTCCGTATGTCTATTACAGATATCTACAGAGACCTCAATATAAAATTTCGGGACTTCAGCTCTATCCATTCAAACAATACCATATTTAGTACTATATAGTACTTTTCGTACAATTATCGTAAACATTTCCGAAACCACCTCCATATATCCAGGCTATACATGAATACAGACCCAAATACCAAATTTCAGATTTCAAGCACCAATACCAAAATGTACTAAATATACAACTTTTTATTATTTTCGTTCACATTTTTAAAATAACCTCTTTGTCACACACCTACCACCAACAGGGATTTCAATATCTACATTTCAAATTACCAACTTCTCCCATTTACCTAAAACGAAATTGTATAGAATTTAGTACCGTTTAGTACAGTTCTTTTACTTAGTACACATTTCCAAAACTACCTCCATACATCAAACCCATTTCTAAAAATTGATTCTCATACCAAATTTCAAGATTTTATCAATATTTTAGTACCATAATTCCAAATGGTACTAAATTTAGCGCTTTTAATACTTTGGTACACGTATTATTAAAATTTCGAAAAACCCTTTAGATATTATATCCTACGCAACATTAAAGGCAATTTCAGATTTCCAGCTCGATTTCTTCTCCAAATACCAAAATATACAGTATGGAGGGTATATTAAGTTCGTCATTCCGTTTGTAACTCATCGAAATAATAATTTTAGACCCAACAAAGTATATATATTCTTGATCAGCGTAAAATTCTAAGACGATTTGCCCGTCTGTCTGCCCGTATATACAGTCAAAACGAATTAAGATAGAATGCTAAAAATTCGCACAGATCTGTCTTTTGTCTACAGGCAGGTCAAGTTCGAAGATGGACTATATCGGTACACGATATCATATAGCCCCCATATAACGGTACCTCCCTATATTCGGTATTTTGAAGATTTTAGACAATTTTTAACGGAATTGTCTGAAAATTGAAACAAAGAGTTTCTTGTGAGTAATGTATCCCCTGGAAGAGAATTTTGTCTGTTTTGTTTGAATGTCCACGATCTCGTATAGCCCCTCATATAACGGTACCCCCAAAAATTCGGTATTTTGATGATTTCAGCCAAATGTTTCAATGGAATTGTCTTAAAATCCACACAAGGTGCTCTTTCTGAGTACTTTACCCCTTGAAGAGAATTGTCTACATAGGTTCACGTTTTAGTTCGTACCCCCAGATAATATGTTTCATTTGAGCGGTATTTTTTTGTCGGAATTTATTTGAAGTTCATCAAGTTTCTTCTAAATGGTGGAGTGTATAAAAAGTTCGGTTGGGCCGAACTTATCCGCTTTTTTACTTATTAGTACGAAAATTGATCGTAATATTAAATTTAAGACTTTCAACTCAATCCCCAACCGAAATACCAAATTTTGTACAGTTTAGTACTTTTTAATACGTATTTCCAAAACACCACCGAATATCAACCCTACACACTAACACTGATCCTAATGACAAATTTCAGATTTCAAGCAGTATCCGTTTACACAATGCCATATTTAGTACCTTTCAACCCAACTCTTTATCTTAACAATATCCATCAGCAGAGACCCCAATAGCAACATATTAAATTTCAATATCAATCCATTCAAGCAAATCCAAATTTTACCGAATTCAGTACAATTTAGTTGAGTTGTTACACTTACAGCCTGTTTCTGTGACAGTATTTTTCCATTCGCTTGGAATTTTGGCGTTATTGCATGTTTTTTCTGTGAGTGACAAACACAATAAACCTTTTTTCCCTTGTATTTTTGGGTTTTGTAATATATCAACTTTTTATTTGCGGATCTTGCAGGACCAAATTCTTTGAATGTTTTCTTGACATTTTACCAATTTTATTTTACAAATTTGTGATAAATTTTGAATTTATTGGGATTGCCGCAATCAGCACAACTCCTAATGAATTTAAATAAAAACAAGTAAGCAAAGGCTATAGTCGTGTGGGGCCGAATATGTTATACCCTACGACACTACAATTTGTTAGAAGCCCTCTTATGTCCAACTCCATATTGGAAGATTTCGCTTTTAAAATTGGGACTTTGACTAGGGACATTTGCCCAATATTTATGCTTGAACCCCTAAGTATTTTGCAATCATCTCCAAAAGCAAGAAGCCCCTCTGTATCTCCAAATTTAGACTCATCTATATGATTTGCTTGTCTACGATATTTGGCTATATTCGTCAACGAAATCAGCATGAAAAAAACCAGAAATTCGCCTTTTGTGTATTTCGGATATAGCCTGCAAATAATGATGGTATTTTTTCACACAAAATTAGTGGTCCATTATACCCGCTCTCCTAACTCTAACTTCAAGCGAGATTTCGTGTCCTTTGGTTTCTATTTGTGACCTTTATAACGGCTGCAAAATCAGGAAAAATTTTAGTTGTTGGTCCATTTCAAACCCCTAATATATTGCGGACATCTTTGAAAACAATAGACCTAGCCCTTCTGAGCTCAACCCTACCCTTGTGAAAATTTTCGTGAGGATCGGACGATATTTGCAATACTTATATAATATCCCCAACCTGTGTTGTAAGGTGAAAAAATATTATAAGTCAAATTGAAGATATCGCATGCGATAAAAAATATGAAAAAATAAAAATAATGTCACAAAATAATACAAAATCTATATTAACCTCTTTATTGGCATATTTTTCTGCGATGTTTTTAGATTTTATACTTTTATGTCAAGAGGTCATTCTGAATTGACAAAATTTGTCAAAATCGGTGCTGCCATTCTTGAGATATAAGCATCCTAACTAACATTATTTCGCTATATATAAACGATATATTTAATATCGGCATCTACGTAACGGTCAGAATTGACCTGTTCGTCTATTTGTGATTTTGCCGGGATTAAAAATATTCGCGGTTTATTGGAAAATTTGACTTTTATTTAACACAAATGTTGTGGCCTATTTCACCCACTAAATATTACACGATGGCCATCAAAATTGGAAGGCTTCTACCCAGTCCTAAGCTCTAGCCCCATGCTAACTTTAGCTTTGATTGGTCTATAATTGCGACCTGTAGAGCAACTGCAAAATCATGAAATTTTTCAGTTTTTTCCATTTCGACCCCTAAATATTATGCGATCGTTCGCAAAAGAAATAGGGTTCTATTCTGACCCTAGCCCCACCTCCATTCTAAATTTCGTGAAGATCGGGCCATAATTGCGACCTGTAGATTGATTACAAATTAACATGGACAGACAGGCGGACGGACGGACATACATAGCTATATCGATTCAGCTCGGCGAGATAGGAAGATCCATATATACTTTCCTATGTGGGAAACCAATATTCCGTGGTGTTACATAATTTTTGGCCCAATCAAACTTATAATACCCCCAACACATAGTGTTGTAGGGTATAAAAATTAACAAAATAATAGTTATGGAAACCCTGACTTATCACAGCTTTTCGGAAATGGACGAGAGCTTTTAAAATTTTTATAAAAACCCATATTAAAATGGATACGTTTGAATACGAAAGTAACTTTTTTTTTTACAAAAAAAACTCCCAAACATAATCTAGTGCTTTTTAGTACTTTTAGTAGACTTGCAGTCCAAATTTCCAAAAACCCAGTCTTATAACATCCCTACCCACCAATATTGACCTACATGGAAAATTGATGAATCAGTCAGTCGCTCCTTTTTACTCTTTTATATATGAATATAGATAGATAACCTCACATAAGACTTCCAAATTTTAGTTTTTGAAAATATCAAGCTGACGGAAAATTAACTCCCATCCTTGTGATTGCGAAAAGTACAAAAAAGGGGCGTTCCAGTCCCTTGCATCTTTAATAGATATTTTAATTGCCCATACAGACCTTAAAAATTAATTCAACATTACAAATTTCCTCTAAAACAGGGAAATCAACTTAATTCAATAAAATGTTGGCCACGACAATTAACCTGGATGTTATGTCGGACAGCAAAAAACTTAAACAGAAGTGGACAAACATTGTCATACTCATGGAACTACTTTAACACTTGCCTTTATTAAATTGTCGTCCATGTGTGACCAAGCAAATCTTAGTACATGCTCACATGACATACATACATCCATTAAAACATACACACCACATATGTTAAGCAAGTGCATTGAG